CAACACCCACTTCCCCCACTGGACTGGGTGGGGGGGTGTAGTAGTTCTCCTAGGGTTCCCCCACTTACTGTAAGAGGTGTAATCTTCTCCCACTTAATATTATCACCTAGGGAAACCAAACCTGTCTCTTGGGGATCAGTGTTCCCAACCAAAATGGGACCAGGAGAAGACTCAGCAGGCCATATAGGACTTTAAATGGGTGGTGATGTCCGGGGATGCCTGTACCCCACATTGCACTCCACAGTCATCCGCACCCACCTTGCCCCAGAAGGGAGCGTGTCATGTCCTGGAATGGAGCTCACAAGGCGCTGGGGTGCGGGTGGGGTTCCACTGGCTCCCAGGGGCCCTTCTGAATTTGACCCCCAGGTCAGCTCTAGGGGGTGGGACTGTCACCTGGTTTCGCAGAGGAGGAACCGGAGCTTCAGACAGGGACATCTGTGCGCCCTCCTGGGGGACACGGCCTCCCACAGTCCCTCCTGTTGCCAAGCACTTTCCCACAGCTGCCCCCAGCTCCAGCAACCTCAGGCCCCCAGACTTCCTGGGACCGCGGAGACACGGCACTGTCCCTGCCGCCCTGGCCTGCAGCCCGAGTCCCAAGGGGGAGCACCGGGCAGAGGGCCGGGCCTCGGGAGCCCGCCTAGTCCTGGTCCGCCCGGGGGCGGGGCCTCCTCCGTGGCCGGCTGGGTGGGGGGCGCCCGCGGGCTGCCTCCGGATAAAAGGGCCCCAGGGAGCCCCAGGAGGTCCGTTAGTGCTGCTCGGCGAGGCACCGGGCCCCAGCCCCGGACCATCTGCGCTCCAGCTGGTGAGCCCTGCCTGGCCCTCGGCCCCAGGTCTGTTTCTTGCTGTCCTGTCTGTTGGTGTGTGGCTCTGTCTCTCTGTAGGACTGCAAACCTCTGAGGGTTCCTAAAAGCTGGGGGCCCAGAGACAGCTCAGCCCAGCAAGAGCTCTCTGAATCTGCTTTCAGTTGGAAAATAGACCAAGTTGGGGAGCTTGGCCCAAAGCCCGAGGGTTGAGCAACCTGGCAGGGCGCCTGTGTGTCTTGTTTGTAACCAGTTCCCTGCCAGCTCACCTAGGGAGGGTGGGGACCCGGCAAGGTGGGCTCGGAACTCATGCCTGCTACTCCGGCGGGCGGGCCAAGGTGGCAGGACTGGTCCGGGCTCTCCAGCTAACCAGACCAGAGTTGCTGGTGAGGGTTGGGGGCTGCGAGGTGTGGAGATGGGCAGAGGATGGACCGTGGGCAGAGGGCTTCCGTCTCCACGTGCTCTTCTCCTGGACAGGTAGAGCTGAAAGACAGGTAGAGCTGAGACCCATTTGCTGGCATGTTTCCCATCACCATATTCAGGGGTCCCAGCAGGAATGGGTGGGGGGTGAGGGATTAGGGATGGCCCTATCCCACCCCTCGATAGTTAGAAATGAGGGGTTTCAGTGATCCCGAGCAGGTTAGCTACCTAACCTGCATAACGTGGGCACGTGCCCAGATTCCCGAGGGTCCTGGCCGGCCAGGTGCCAATCTCCCTAGCAGCTCCTGGGGCAGGTGCCTCTGCGCCCAGCGGGCAGGCCGTGGACCTGCCACGTGGTTGCTCCCCGTGCTGGCACCCACCACAGTGCCCTCGACCAGCGTGGTCACGCGTCAGCAGCAGTAGAGAGGAGGGTTCCATCCGCCTCCCTGTCTCCATTCCGTCCTGGCCCGCCAGCGTCCTCTCCTGGTTGAGACTTCTGGAGCCAGGCTGCTGGGCTTGAATCTGGTGGGGCAAGTGCGTGAGCTTCTCTGGCCTCATCCTCTCGTCTGTAGAGTGGAGAGAAGTGTTCAGTAAATATTCAAGTGTATAGTGGTAGTAATTATTAGTAACGTTCGCTGCCTCCAGCCTGCCTTCCCTTCACTCTGTCCCCTTCTCCACTCGAGGGAAGACTGCCCTTTTCTTTTAAAATTCAGTTTATTTATTTATTTTCAAATAATATCTGTTTATTTTTACACCTTTTTGTGCCTTTTTCCATCTCAGTTGTAATCCCCATGGGCTTCCCATCACCAATTCACCCGTGTGCCATCACCATAGTCCCGTGTACTTTCCCCCTCCCCCCATTTTTGATCCCATTCCCCACTCCACCCCCATAAAATGTCTCTGGTACATAGTTGTTCATTATTATTACTATTTTCTCGCCTGGTCCTTTATACTCCTGCTATGAGTGAAACCATCCGGTATTTTTCCTTTTCTTTCTGGATTACTTCACCAAGTGTGGTCCCTTCCAGCTCCATCCAGGAAGACTGCCCTTCCCAGGCGCTTCCTTCTGGGGGAGCACGTGGCCGGGTTCTCTTCTCTGCGCTCAGCACTGGGGAAGTTACTGGAAGACGCTGGAGACGGGGTGTAGAGGCAGGAAATGAACATAGCCAGTGCCGGGAAGTGGTCAGCCAGGAAGGCTGCATGGAGGGGTGGCGTTTGAGCTGTCTGTGGAAAGAGGAGTAGGGACCTAACAGTCTGAGACAGGAGGAACATCCTCAGGCGGCAGGAGCCAGGCAGAAGGGCAAAGGCCTGGAGCCCGGGAGCCGAAGGGTGAAGACCAGTCGGTGAGAGCCGGGGTGGGAAGTCTGGGAAGAGGGGCACTCCCAACATCTGGCTCTCCGGCAGCCACTGCCCACGTTCCTCCTCCCATGACAGCTGCCCTGGTTTAGAATCCAAGGTCCTGCGGCAGAAGCTCACCCCAAGGACGCCCCTTGAAGGGGAGCCCAGGGCTGTTGGCAGCCTCCGATGAGACACCAACCCCCACGTCACCCCCTCATCTTCCATGTGCTGCATACGAGTCTCAGGGGGCAATCTCCAGACTCAAGTCACATAGCAATGTGGAGGCAGAGTCAGGAACATCGTGCCTCCTGGGGGGTGGGGCTGGGGGTCCCTGCTCAGGCCAGTCCCTCCGGAGCAGGGATCCCAGCAGCAGGAGGGCCCTGAGCCCCACTTTCCTGCTCTGTCTTGCCCCGGGGTAGGTTGGGCACAGCCCCTAGCTGCCCATCTCCCTGGAGAAGGAGGCAGGACCTCTAGGAGCACTCTGCTCAGGCTGACAGTCACAAGGACACCCCTCCCGCCCCACGCCAGGACTCCTGGCGGAGGGCTGGGGGGTGACGTGAAAACAGGGTTTAAGCCCAGTAAAGAAATATGGGGGAGTCTCTGAGAGCAGTGAGAATGGGAAGGAGGTGACAGCCTCAGGGAGGGAGAGGAGAGTGGGCTCTCAGGAAAGCGGGGCTGGACGGAGCTGCAGGAAGGGTTCTTGCTGCAGAGATCCTCTCTGCAGACAGAGAGGGGCTGGCCCAGCCCGGACCAGTGCTTCTGTTAAGTTGCTACTCATACTACTTCATTGTCAGCTGAGAGCTTTCTCTCTGGGTTCAGCATGTGTTCGGTCAGTCTGCACAGGACTCCTGTCGGTAGGAGCTGTGGCTCTGAGGCCCCTGCAGCTCACAGGCGGAGGTGGAATCTGAAGCCCAGCAGTCTGGGCCCCACTCTGTGTCCGAAGCCCCCCGCTCTGCCGCCTCTCGCACCTACGCAAACCCCGGTATTTCCTGGTGGCCACCTAGGCACTGGGGACATAGCGCAGGTCCCGTCCCCGTGGCCCTGCCTCCCCGAGCCCGCCCAGAGTTTCTGGAGCAGCATGCCACGCTACCGAGCTGCCCTAAGCAGGAGGCTGGGCCGCTGGGGGGGGACGGGGCTTGCGCAAGAGCAGCAGAGTGGCCATGGGGGACGGAACTTTCTTAAGACACAAGCGCTGAGCAGGGAGCTGAGGACCTGACTCTGCAGGGGACTTGCTGTCTGCTCCTCCCCCATCCTGTGCTCTGGATCAAGGCTGCTAGTGCTGGAGGGGAGAGGACCTGTCTGGAACCCCGCACCCCCCAAGGACACAGAGGGCGCGGCCATGCCCTCCTGCAGACAGGAGCCCCCCCGCGTGTGCTGGCTGCTGAAAGCCTCCCACTGCCCTGAACATCGATAGAATGGCGGGCAAGCCCTCTGGTGGAGCACGAGCCCTTGCTCACTGGCCCAGTCCGAGCCCCCTCGTTCTCCAGGCCCCCAGTACTGCAGGATGGAGTTAGGGGAGGGTGCTCCCTGGCCTCGCTCAAGCTGTGGGTTCCTGTCCTCTCCCCACTTTTCCTGTCCTCTTTGCCTGGAAGGCCCTTTCCCACCCAGGAGAACTCCTACTCGTCCTGCAAAGCCCAGGTTACTGTCCCTTCTCCCAACGCTTTCCTGACTCTCCTCTCTGAGCTTTGTGAGGGCCGGGTCTGGATGGCGTCTTCACTTCTGTGTCCTGGCACCTGCCCTAACGAGTAGCCTCCAGCACGTATTCCCAAATGTCTGTTGATTCAATGTAAGACTCATGCGCTTAGACGCTAGGAACTGAGGATCTCACCGACTATTCAAGCTGGAAGAGCTAGTAGGCGATATGTGGTTTAACCTCCTCTTCAGAAACAAGGAATCAGGGCCTGCAGGATGAAGACTGCCCGCGCCACACAGCAAATGGGTGCTAAAGTCCTCTATGTCCTCAAACGTCTTTCCACCCCAGCGTGCCAGGTGCTGGGGACATCAGCCCTAGGAAAGGACAATGACCCGGCGTAGATATTCTGGCCCTGCGGGGACCCCTGAGGGCTCCCCCAAATGATCTGTATGTGGAAGAAGGGAACAAGTGCCACTTAGTGACCCCTTACCATGGGGCAGGCTCAAGCCACGAGCCTTGTTCACAGGATCGTATTTAATGTGATACTGGGAGACAGGAATTAACCCCACTTTTAAATGAGGCACTCGAGGCTCAGTGAGGTTAAACTCTTTCAGTGTCACGTGGCCAATGAATGCGGCTTAACCCAGATGGAGACCTCAGAGCGCAGACACACACACACGTGTGCAGGGAGGGACCGCAGCTTCCTCTGTCTCTAGTAGCAGAAGAGACCTGGGGCGCAGGGAAGAGGTGGGGGTCACCGTCACGTTTACTCATTCCCCAGGTGCCTGCGCCCAGCTGCCCCGGCACCCCAACATGTGGTCCCCGCCAGCTGCCGTCTCCCTGCTCCTTCTGCTCCGGCTGCTGGAGCGGGCGCCCCCCAGCAGTCCGCAGTCGCTGGGCACCACCAAGCTGCGACTCGTGGGTCCGGGGAGCGGGCCTGAGGAGGGCCGCCTGGAGGTGCTGCACCAGGGCCGATGGGGCACTGTGTGTGACGACGACTTCGCTCTCCGGGAGGCCACCGTCGTCTGCCGCCAGCTGGGCTTCGAGGCCGCCTTGACCTGGGCCCACAGTGCCAAGTATGGCCAAGGGGAGGGTGAGTGCCTGGAGCTGCCTGGCAGGATGACGGGAGACAGTGTGGGCTTCTCTCAGGGCTGGGCTGGCTGGGACCAGCAAGGCACATCAGCTCCCTGCCTAGCCCCTACTGCCCAGCTCCAGTGGCCTTGCCCAAATTCACTTCCTGAGTGCCCCTGCCCTGGCCCTCTCATTCTAGCTTATGGTGAGGCCGCACCTCACAGCTCAACCCCCAAGTTCCTTGGATGTAGCCTCTGGCACACGATGGGTACTTGGAAGGCACTGGCGGGTGGCTGGCGGTGGTGGACAGATGGACAAGCATGCCTAACTGGACTTACGAGGCTTCTTCCCAGAGCTGGACCTGACGCCAAACAGAGGCAGCAGGCAGGGACTAGACACTGGCATCGAAGCGAGCCCCGCCTGCTGCTCAGGCTCGGAGCAGGAACGCTGACAGCTGTGAGGTCCATCCGGGAGACAGCGCCTCGGGCCCGTCTCTGTGCCTGTTGCCGCGCATCTCCTTAGTGTCACTGTCCCCTTTCCCACAGGACCCATCTGGCTGGATAACGTGCGCTGTGTGGGCACAGAGAGCTCCCTGGACCAGTGTGGGTCAAACGGCTGGGGCGTCAGTGACTGCAGCCACTCGGAGGACGTCGGGGTGGTGTGCCACCCCCAGCGCCAGCGTGGCTACCTTTCTGAAAGGGTCTCCAATGCCCTTGGGCCCCAGGTGAGGAAGCTGTTGGGCTCTGAGCTGAGGGTTGGGTCAGGGGACCCGGAGCCTCCGAGGTGATAAGGCTGGAAAAGGGGAGGGCAAAGAGCAGATGTGGACTGAGGCGCATCCCTAGAGCCCTGGCGCCTATTTATGGCCTAGCGTAGGGGCCTCAGCTGGAGGCAGGACAGGCCAGGGGAGCAGAGTCTAGGCCTGCAGGGAGACCATCAAGGCAACAGTAGGGGCCAGGGGCTGTCTCACCCACAAGGCCTGGCCACAATTGCTGCCTCTTCCCGGCACAAACAACCCCAGGCTAAAAACAGCCCTAGCCAAACAGCAGGAGTGGTAGGGCAGGTCTCTGGCTCCTGCCATCCACTTCCGGAACCCTCAGCCTGAGAACAGCTGGGCCTGACCCCCTGGAAACCGTGGGCCAGGGTGGGGGCTCCGTATTGGTTAAGTCGTCTAAGCACTGGAGTGGGGTGGAAGCTCTCCTGGGTCACTGGACCCTGCCGGTGGCCTCAGCATCTGGCCTGCCCCTTCCCTGGGGAGGCCCTTGATCCCTGGTGAAAAGCTCCCAACGACCAGGGGTTCCCGTCCTGAGCCCAGGGAGGGCACAGCTCTGCCAGCTTCTCTTCAAAATTGAGGAAAAGCCTTTGGACAAACCAAGGTTCTGCCTTACTCACCAGACCTTTGAAGAATGCCTCCTTGTCTCGGGGCCTCTGTTTCCCGGTCTGTCCCGGGAGGGGGCCAGCCAGGGTGACCTCTAAGCTTCCCCACCGAGGACGGGCGGGGCTCAGCCGGACAGGGGTCCATGCACCCGCAGGGCCAGCGGCTGGAGGAGGTGCGGCTCAAGCCGATCCTCGCCAGTGCCAGGCGGCACAGCCCGGTGACTGAGGGCGCCGTGGAGGTGAGGTACGAGGGCCACTGGCGGCAGGTGTGCGACCAGGACTGGACCAGGAACAACAGCAGGGTGGTGTGCGGGATGCTGGGCTTCCCCAGCACGGCACCTGTCAACAGCAACTACTACAGGTAGGCCGGCAGGGCGGGAGGCGGCTGGCTGGTGCCAGTGTGGGGCACGCGTGCGTGTGTGTGTGTGTGTGTGTGTTGGGGGGGTGTTCATACTCGGGGTCCCCAGCAGGGAGTGGCGAGATTGGCAGGAGCTGGTGTGCTTAGCAGAGGTAGCCAGGGGGAGCTGGGGTTGGAGGGGAGAAGGTCTACCTGAGGGATGTGGCTGGATTTTCGGGAGTCAGAGGAGAACATTCGGAGACTAAGGATGCGTATTCAGGAGGCAAATACAAGGAAGATGAAAATGAACGCTGGAATCCAGGGAAAACCTAGAAATGGTCAGAAAATAAACATGTTATTTGCCAGAAAGGTAAGAAGAATTGACAGTAGAGCAGAATACTCCCAAGTGAAAATAATTGGGGAACTTGGCACCCCCGCTTTAAAGATTAGCCTTCACTGGGGAGTCCAGCGCTGCCCACTGCCCACGAGTCCAGGCGCCACCCCCGTCGGTCTTCGCAGCCAGGATGTGGAGCCTCAGGGAGCATCCAGACCTTCAGTACCCACACTTGCGTGCTCTGTCAGCCTCACCCCAGGGAATCGCCCCACGATCAGCCCAGGCTGTGATTGGGCCCCTTGTAGGCAAGGCAGGGGAGGGGGGCTTGGAGAGCAGACTGCAACGTTCAGTCAGAACCGTGGCCGGCCTGTCACAAGGTCAGCCTCCAAGTGGGGACCAGCCAGGCCCCCCAGCTCTGTCAGGGGAAACTTGGCACAGTAGCCCCCCCAAACCCTTGCCCCCCAACGCAAAGAAGGTCCCAATAACCCGCCACAAACGGAAGCCGAAAAATTCAAAAGCAAAAAGGTATTTTGAGAATAAGAGATCATATCATAGCTTTTCTTACAGTACATTGCTGTAACTGTCCTATTTTCCTATTGTCAGTCTCTTGCGAGCCTCCTTTATCAGTTAAGCTTTATCAGCAGTGTGTGTGTAGGAAAAAAATGCACTAGTCTCAGTTTCAGGCGGTTGCTGGGGGCCTGGGACCACCCCTCGGGGAGGCCACTGTGTTTCTCATCAAGGGAGGAGTCCTTTGCCCTTGCCTGGCCCTAGTCAGCTTCGTCTCTCACCTGTCTCTGGCTGAGACCTGCTAGTCCTGAAGGCCAGCCGGGGGTCTCCATCCTTCGGGGCACTGCGGTGTGGGCCCTGCACCCACCCAACCTGCTAATTGCACAGCAGGCCCGGCCATGTGCCCTTCACCGTGTGTGGGGCCACCCTAATTCTAGCCTCCGTGCTCTGGGGCATAGCACCGGGCAGCAGGCCCTTCGGCTTGTCAGGGAGCACCATCCCCTGGACCCATCCCCTGGGCCACTCCCTGCAGATTGTCCATCTGGCCTCCGGGGAGGGCGCTCGGAGCCGCCTGACCCAGGGGCCCCGCGCAGGGGAGACTTTGCCGTGGGGCTCCCGGAGGGCCTGGCCAGGCCCAGCCAGCCCAGCCTCCTCCCCTGTGAAGCAGAGGTGGCTGTTGTTGCCAGGCTCGGCGCTGAGATAAGGCATGCAACAGGGTCTCCAAACTACGGTCTGGGGCAGACTCGGGCCTGAGCAGCCTGTGCAGGGGTGGGCTCCTGCACCCATGCCACTCTCGACACCTGCCTTCTCCCCCTGCAGGAAAGTCTGGAATTTGAAGATGAAAGACCCCAAGTCTAGGTGAGGAGTGGCACCCTGCAGGGAGGATACAAAGGGCCTCCCAGGCACCCCCACAGTGCCTTGGCCTCCCCCACCCCCACAGGCCTGAGCTCCTCCCCCACTTGCAGTCTCCCTTTCTTCCAGGCTGAAGAGCCTGACCAGGAAGAATTCCTTCTGGATCCACCGCGTCAGCTGTTTGGGGACAGAACCCCATATGTCCAACTGCCAGGTGCAGGTGGCACCAGCCCGGGGCAAGCTGCGACCGGCCTGCCCAGGGGGCATGCATGCTGTGGTCAGCTGTGTGGCGGGTCCCCGCTTCCGCCCTTCCAAGGCGAAGCCTGTGCGCAAGGAGTCTGGGGCAGAGGTGGGTCCCCCAGGGTTGCACCCCGGCCTGGAGGCATAGACCGCTCTGGGCAGCCCCTGCCCTGTCCCAGGAGGAACTCTCCAGGACAGAGGGGGAGGAGGGACTAACCCCGGTCATAGGTGGGGGAGGAGAGTGAATCACAGAATGTCTTAAGAACCTTGGGATTTATTTAAAAGCGACCAGTTATAGCCCTGCCATAAATGGAAAGCTGACATCACCTGCCAGGACCATAAAAACAGTAATTACATTGTAGCTACATCCCGTGGAGGGCCTCAGGTATTGAACTTGGGCGCAGAGAGCAAGTGCTGTTACAGACACAGCAGTCCCCAGGGAGGCGGTCGCCTCCACTCGCAGGAAGGGTGGAAATGGACACGGCTTCCTCGCGACGTGAGTGGGTTTAATGAACCCCAGGCGACGGTTGTCATTGAAGGGAGGTTGAAAAGACACGTGGCTCCCTCAAGGCGGTGGTGCAGCCAGTCAGAGGCAGGACCAGAGCCGGGATCTGAGGCAACACCTGCTGCTCCTCCTAGGGGCGGGAGGGCTCCCCTGAAGCCAGTGTTCTCCCACAGGAGATGAGGGTGCGCCTGCGCTCCGGGGCCCAGCTGGGCGAGGGCCGGGTGGAGGTGCTCATGAATCGCCAGTGGGGAACAGTGTGTGACCACAGGTGGAACCTCATCTCCGCCAGCGTCGTGTGTCGGCAGCTTGGCTTTGGCTCCGCTCGGGAGGCCCTCTTTGGGGCCCAGCTGGGCCAAGGTGAGTGGGGAGGTGGGGGCCGGAGGAAGCTTGATTCACAGGCCTAGGGGTGGCGTGTGACGGCGGAGGCTGGGGATCCTGCATGTTCCCCTGGTGGGCTGGGGCCCAGGGCTGAATGTTGTCCCCTCTGTGGAGCCTCACCTGGCACCTCTCCCCTCCCCTGCAGGGCTGGGGCCCATTCACCTGAGTGAGGTGCGCTGCAGGGGGTATGAGCGAACCCTCAGTGACTGCCCCTCCCTGGAAGGGCCCCAGAATGGTTGTCAGCATGAGAATGACGCTGCCGTCAGGTGCAACATCCCTAACATGGGCTTCCAGAATCAGGTGAGCTCAGGGCTGGCATAACCTCAGGCTGGGGCCCTGAGGGCCACACAGAGCTGCCATGTGCTCGTGGGGGCGCCCGCCTCAGCCCCTGGAGCTGGTCTGGGAAGAGACCTCTCACCCGCTCTGAGTCTCTGGCTGGTCACAGGCCCCCACAGCCAGGTTCTGGCCTCCAAGAGGTGGCTGTGCTCTGTGAGGGGGAAGAAGGTGCCCAGGACAGAGGGCCACAGGGCTGTGAGTGCTGAGGAGTGGTGCCTGGGTGGGAGCTGGGGGTTCAGAGGTCAAGCTAGTGTAAACTGGGGGTGAGCGCCTCACATTTTTGACTTTGGTTCTCTCTTGTAACATGGGGTTCATTGTCTTGGGATCATTGCGAATGGGACGATAGAGTGAAAGTGCTCGGACATCCTCATATGCAGTAGGCTGTCAGGGAGGAGGAGGGGAAGTGGCAAGATGCGGCCAGGCACCGCCGGCTTTCCCTAGCTGCAGGAACACGAGAGACTAGCTGGCCGACGTGCTCACATCAGATGCAGGCAAACCCAGGGACGGGAGCACCATCCCGGGCCCCAGTGAGCTCACTGGTGGTCCCCAGGCTGGCCGTCCTGGGCACCCCCTGCTGAAGCCACCTGCTCTCACACACCTCTGACCACTGCAGGTGCGCCTGGCTGGTGGGCGCAGCCCAGAAGAGGGCGTGGTGGAGGTGCAGGTGGAGGTGAATGGAGTCCAACGCTGGGGGGCCGTGTGCAGTGACCACTGGGGGCTCACTGAAGCCATGGTGGTCTGCCGACAGCTCGGCCTGGGTTTCGCCAGCCACGCCATCAAGGTAGGTCCTGAGCCAGGGTTGCTAACCCTTTTTGCAGCCTTTTTGCAGTAGTGCCCCGAGTGAAGTCTGGGTCTCAGTGATACTGGGTGCAGGGACGCTATGGTGGACGGGATGACAAGGTTCCCCTTTGAGGAGCCATCTGTCAGGCGTGGGAGGGGAGGAGGGAGCCATCCCCAAACATCCCCACAAAGGCGCGTGGTTGTGTCCACATGACAGAGGAGCAGAAGACGCCAGATGAGGCGGGGAGGAGTGAGCAGCTCTTGCAGACCTTGGGACCCAGGGAGGGCGTGCGGCCGCGGCGGCTGAGTGGCGCCACGTGAAGAGGGAGGCAGGGCAGGACCAGTCACAGGCTGCCGTGGCTCAGATTATTTCGGGCTTTCTTCCGGGGCTGTCTGGCAGTGGGGTGGAGACGAATATGAATAGAGCAGGCTGGGTGAGGAAGGATGCTGGGTCGGACCAGGCTGGTGCCAGTCCTGGGGGAATTAGTGGGTCAATGCAGAAGGCGTGCAGGAAACCAGAGGCTTCGGGCTTGGCTGGGGGAGGCCGCCAGGCCAGGCAGGGAGCACGCCCCGAAGAAGTGAGCTCCGCCGGAGCACAGTCAGACCTGGGGCTGGGGGAAGGCTGCCTGGTGGGCAGCAAGGGGACAAGACCATCTTCTTCGAAGGCGGAGAACGGCCACGTGGGAGGGGGCGGCAGGAAGGCCAGCGGTGGAAGCCAAGGCAGCGGAGTTATGTCTCTACACAAAAGAAATGTATTTATCTTTAGGGGGGTCAAAGCGCAGACTGCCCATCACTGGCTGGCCAGCACGGGTGGCGCTGACCACAGCAGCCCCTCTTGGCCCTGTCTGATGTTGGCTGTTTTCTTAGGAGACCTGGTACTGGCAGGGGACGCCGGGGGCCGGAGAAGTGGTGATGAGCGGCGTGCGCTGCACGGGCACAGAGCTGGCTCTGCAGCAGTGCCAGAGGCACGGGCCGGTGCACTGTTCCCATGCCACCGGGCGCTTCTCGGCCGGCGTGTCCTGCACCAACAGTGAGTGCTGGGGGCGGGGGGAGGGGGCGGGCGGGCTCCAGGCCGGAGGGGCAGCGGGTGCGTGGACGTGGCAGCTCAGCCATAGACCAGCTGCGTGTGGCCAAATCATCCATCCCAGCAGGATGCCAACCCTGTCCTGCCAATCTTGTGGCGCAGCAGTGAATTAACAGGAATGTGTGAAAACACAGGGATACACATCAGTGCTTTTCAATTTTCCTGTCATGACCTATGGTTTTAACAAGTGGAACAGAACAGAAAGCAGCAGCGTATTACATGAGGGTCCTTTTTGCTTGGAAGTGTGTGTGGACGAGGTCACGACAGAAGATGTATTTTATCCTCAGGCTTGCAGTGAAAAGAGGCTGTATATGTATTTTGAGCTGTGGGATTTACCCAAAAGACCGTTTCAAGGCCTTGCTGTGCCCCACAATCTCAGATTCTTGGGGCAGCAGCATCTCTGCTTGACACCTGCCAGCCAGGTCTGTGCCAAATAACTGCCCAGTCCAGAGGCTCCCCGCTGGCACATCCGCGTGGCCACTTGACCTTGTTCCCAGACGAGCTCCAGTGCCAAGACACCCCGGCCTCATCCGAGGCCTCAGGGTTCCTTGGAAGCAGAGGTCTTGGCAGGGTGCTGCCTCGCTGCTGGGCCACAGGCTGTCAGAGCGGGCTTCCCAGCCCAGGGGCTCACAGCGCAGTGGGGTAGCTCCCCCCTGCTCCCCTCCCCGTTCCACTGCCCAGGTAGCCTGCTCCTGACCAGCCGCGGCTAAGGCCATGCCTGCCTCTCCTCTGAGATCGTCCTCGCTTCCTCTCTTCCTTTCCTCTCCTTCATTCTCCTCACAGCCCTCCTCCTTTCCCCAGGGATCTCTAGGGTTTGTCAGCGGGCTTACCCTGGCTCTCTCCAGCACACGGCAGGGATTTCTAGGGCGTGTTAAGTCATAGTGCAGGCAGCAGACAGCACACCTCTGGCCCCACCCCAGCCTCAGCGCCCTGCCCTGAAGCCCTCCAGTGTCTGCAGAGTCAGCTCCAGGCTCCCTCGGTGAGGCTTCTGCCAGAATCAAACTCCCACACACAGGCACTGAGAAGGGGAGCTTTCCTCCAGATGCCACGTGGCGACAGCTGTGGCTCCACACGTCTGGGCCACTGAGGGAAGGATAGCATTGGTGACACTGGCGGCTTCGAGGAGGGCGAGAGCCCTGTGCCAGGGAACGGAACGGCGCATGGCACCGGGGCACGGTGGGCTGCAGTGTGCTGGGCTGGCGCACACAGAGGAGACCAGAGACCTGCTCCCACGACCAGTCAGGCTGGAGCAGGAACCCTGGAGGAAGCCCAGGCCTGGGCTGAGCAGCAGGGCTGCAGCGGCAGAGCTCGGCAGCGGCCGGCCCCCTCCCGGCCTCCCCGGGTCTCCCGGCCCCTAGCACTGACAGCACAGAGGCCCCATCAAGTGACCAAAAGCGCCAAGGAGCTGAGGTCACCAAGTTAGATGCCAGCAGTTGACAGAGGGCTTCCGGGAGCTGCGCCTAGAGGTGCACACAGGCCGAGCCGCACCACAGAAGCGGTTCCAGCTGCCACCCATCAGCTGTTTGCTTACCACAGGCCAGGGATCGACCCCGCAAACGGGTGTAACGTGCTATGATTATCAGCCCCGTCTTGCAGGGGGGAGCGTGAGAGACACGAGGACTAAGCCAGTCACAGGGCTCGTTAACGGTTCAGTCAAGAATCAAGCATAGGGGCCCTCCCTGGTGGCACAGAGGGTTAAAGCACAGCACTGAGAAGCCAAAGCCACTTCAACAAGAGTTCGATCCCTGCCTGCCCCGGAGGTGACCAAATGGTGTAGCAGACCTCTCCTGACCTGCCCGCTGCTCCCCTCAGCAGTGTACTTCGTCGATCTGCCTGTTCTGCTCCCCGCTCTGTCTCTGGTGAATCTTCTCATCGCCCCTGCACCTCTGGCCTGTACCCCAGTTCTGTATGCATAAAGGAATCTTCAGGCCTAGCTCTCATAGCCAGGAGCTTGACCTGGGTCACTGCTCAGGGTAGGCCGCCAGGCAGCTCCTGGGTGGTTAGAGCTGGCGTCAGGGATGGCGACGCTACGTCTCTCGGGCCACCGACAGCTTAGTCTGGGGCGAGCCCGGCCACCTGGGCAGAGCACAGCCCCCCACCCAGCGCCTGCCTCCTGCCCTGCCCCTGCCAGGTGCCCCGGACCTCGTGATGAATGCGCAGCTCGTTCAGGAGACGGCCTACCTGGAGGACCGGCCGCTCAGCCAGCTGTACTGCGCCCACGAGGAGAACTGCCTCTCGCAGTCTGCTGACCACATGGACTGGCCCTACGGCCACCGGCGTCTGCTGCGCTTCTCCTCACAGATCCACAACCTGGGCCGGGCCGACTTTCGCCCCAAGACGGGGCGCCACAGCTGGATCTGGCACCAGTGTCACAGGTACTGCTGGCCGGGCTCGGCCCAGGCACTCTCCTGGGTGGGGTGCTCCGGGAAGACTCGCCCTTCCTAGCCTTGCCCCCAGGAGGCGCTGAGGGGCCCCAGAGCCCCAGCCTGCCCTCTGCATAGTCTCCTCCCTCCCCTGGCTGCACCCCCCAGCAGGCAATGCCAGAGCTGGTCGAACTGGTCTGTGCAGGATGGTAATGGGTGGGCTCTCTGTGGCGGACCTTCGGCCTTTTCTTTAAAGGAAGGCAAAGTGGGGGTTCTTAGGAACCAGTAGACCCAAAATAGACATCACCTCCAGGATGCTGCCTGTGCAGAAAAGCTTGCGGGTTTCTGCGGCAGCAAAGGCCTCCCAGGGATGGTGTGAGCATGGCTACTGAGACCGAGAGCGTTCCTTCCTACCAGGAAGCTCCAGTCCAGACAGCAGGAGAGACAAAGCCTGTGACAAAGAATGAAAAGAGACATTGCAGGCTCCTGCCCCCACCTTCTCCCCACCCCCGCCCCAGAACTCAGACCTGGGTGGGGAAAGCTGACAAGAATGGGCAGCAATGTTGGGACTTGGCCTTGCCTAAGGTAATAAGCACTTTTCCCTAGAGCAGGAGCATAGCTGTCATTAGAACTGGATTGGAAACAATGGTAGTAATTTGGCCCGGGCTGACAGGGAGCGGAGAAAGCTCCCCTCTTCCAGCTCAACTCCTAGGCTGGACCCCGAAGTGCCCTTCCTTCCACCTTGGCTCCAGGCCTTGCAGCGGGCAGCAGCCTGCTGGAGCCTGCCAGGCTGAGCTTTGTCCTCCCTCACCTCGGTGAAGGAGGATCACGGGCAGCCATGCCTGCTGCCTGGCAGGGTCGCCAGAAGTAGGCCATGGGTCACTCTCCCGGGCTCGGAAGAAGGGCACTGCCCTGCTATTGTGATGCTTTTCTCTGGGTAATGATGGGCTGATGCCTCGGTCCTCCCAGCCAGCTCCTCCAGAGTGGGGTATGTCTGCTGCCGCCAGGCTGACAGCCCTCCCCCCCTGCAGGCACTACCACAGCATCGAAGTGTTCACCCACTACGACCTGCTCACGCTCAATGGCTCCAAGGTGGCCGAGGGGCACAAGGCTAGCTTCTGTCTAGAGGACACAAACTGCCCCACAGGTATGTGGTTTCCCGTGGCCAGAGCCTCTTTGCATTCTATTCTTGTCTCTTTGGGATCCTGTTCCCCTCTGCCCCAGCTCAAGGGCCCCAGGCACTTGTCACTCTGGGCTGAGGACAGTCAGCACTTAAGGCAGCTCTCAGAAAGGTCAAGTTCTGTCTGAACTGAATCTTAGGCGGAAGGTGCCTCTGCATTCTCAACACATTTGTAATAGTTTTAAAATGCTCAACACTTTCCCTCTGGGTAACAATTGCAGACCTGTCTCATCTCGAAGTGCGCCCTGAAGAAAACTCCTTTGTACCCCAGTCCCTAGCCCCAAGGGGTGGCCTCTAACTGCATCTCTAGAGGCTTGCATGGATGGACAGAAAGATGAGCAGTTGGGCTGGAGTCTTCCAACCATGGTTTCTAGGCCCACAGGGATGTCCACCAGAGCACCCAGAGAAATGGCCTCTGGCACCCAAGGCAGGTCCTCCGGTGCTGGGCTGATGGTCGGGAGGAATTCTGGCTCTGGTACTCAGGCGGGTCATGCAGCTGAACCCCAGGTCCTGAGGTTCCCGGCTGCCCGCGGCTGGCAGGGCTTCTTGCTCCCAGGTACCTGCCCCGGCCCAGCAACTGCCTGCGCCCTTCCTTACAGGAATGCAGCGGCGCTACGCATGTGCCAACTTTGGGGAGCAGGGCGTGACCGTAGGCTGCTGGGACACCTACCGGCATGACATCGACTGCCAGTGGGTGGACATCACGGACGTGGGTCCCGGGGATTATATCTTCCAGGTAAGGGGGGTAGGCAGGGCTCCCCACAGAAACTCCATTTTCTCCAGATATTCTGCTTGAAGCAGCTACGGTATAGGGGGAAGAATCGAGTCACGAGTCAGGGCACCTGATTAAGTGGACAGTGGACGTGGCCATGAACGCCACGTCCTGGGGTGATCGTACAGCAGCTGAGATTATACACACTGTGTAAGACTCCAGAGGTAGCCTCGCACTTACTTGGAGGTGTGAAGGATGCGCACTCCCCCACTTCACTCAGCCACATTGCCCACTTTCAGTGACCCCCTTCTCTCACTGCAGGTAGTTGTGAACCCCAAATATGAGGTGGCAGAGTCAGATTTCTCTAACAACATGATGCGGTGTCGCTGCAAGTATGACGGGCACCGGGTCTGGCTGCACAATTGCCACACAGGTAACTGGGGGCCACCGAGGGGCTCGGGACAGGAAGACTAAATGGACCAGTGTGCGACTCGGATGTGTGTAAAGGGCTGGGGATGGAACAGGAAGAATCTTCCCAGGGAGATTCCTAGAACCAACTGGTGAGCCATCCGCTCATGCAGTTACCACTTCTGTGTTCTTGTCCTTGAGGCTGTTTGGATTGTGGACAGTTTCCCACTTACCCTGAAATCTTTCCTGTTACCTGCCAGGAATTTCCTCTTTCAGCTCTTGTTATTCTCCCCTCCTCCCTGATGGTCTTTCTTACCTGCCTCTACCCTAAAACCACTGTCTTGCAGGGCAAAGTACCAGTGCCCAGATCTGGGTTCCTCACCACCAGCTGTTACAAAGAGGGGACCATGAAGAACAGGGCTCAGCACACTTGGGGATCAGCAGTGTCAGTCAGAGGAGGAAGCCATGATCCAGTTGGGGATGGGGAGTAAGCACGTAGTAGCTCTCCTTGTCTGGGAGGGAAGTGACTCCTCCTTCATTAAGTTTTGCTTCTGTTTGCTATGGAGTGAGACATTCAGCCCACACCTGCTCTGTAGGGTGGGGGCGAACATTTGTCCATTCAGATGGCACTTACTATGCACACTGTACCAGCCACTCGGATCAGAAACAGAAGGGGAGCGCAGTGCCATACGGGGTAAGCAGACATGCAAAGGGGAACCCACGTATACTAAATGCCCACACTGGTAAGCACTGAGGCTGAGCAAGCTTAGAAAGAAACACCAACGGAGGGGCTCGCAAAGGTTTGCAAAGGCAAGGCGGCTGAGCCAGGCTCCAAGGAGGGGAGGCGTGGGAAGGAGGGCACAGGGCGTGGCTCTAGAAAGCATCAGGGGGTTCCAAATTCGACTCTACACTTCTAGCACTAGGACAGGAAATCTCAACTCCAGAGGCTCTCTCTTTTGTAAACTGAGTCCATGTATATCCCAAGCCCACGGGTCTTTGCAAGGAGGGGTATGATGATTCTTGCTAAAAGGATGGAATGGTCCCGTGGGCTTCGGAGACAAAGCTCAGACAAATGGGCAACGTGATCAGATTTGTTTTTCAGACAGCTCTGGCAACAGATGGGAAACAAAATGAGAAGCAGAGAAGAAATGGCCTATGGGTTTGAATGTGTGTGACCTAGTCGATGCGATGCCATTCAGCGAAAGGGGAGTGAGCAGTCAGGAAAGAGCAGGCACTCGTGGAGACAGTGGAGCTTCCATAATGCTGGTGCAGGCTGCAAGGGGGGCAGGGCAGCCAGGCGGGAAAGAAAAACTATGCTGCTCTGACCCGTCAGGGTCAGAGAAAATAGAGGCCACACTGGGGCGAGAGCATGCAGTTACTTAATGAAGGGATTCTTTACAGGGTGAGAAAAAGTGATGGGTGTTGAGATAGCCAGGGGTAAGAGTGGAAAACACCACTTAGGCTTGAAGGGGCAAAGAGCACCCCGGAGCCCGGGGAGTCTGAGGCACAGACTGTCATGGCCAGTAGAGGGCAAGAAGCAGCCGACCCCTTTCCACTCTGCTGTTGTTTGCCATTGACCTAAAGCAACCAGACACCAGTGGCTGAGGGAGCCAGGGCAAAGCAGTGTCCAGGGGTCAGTCCCTCTGGGTGCGGAAAGAACAAAGGCTGAGGATAAACCTAGAGAGGGGGCGGAGGACAGCGACCAGCACAGCTCATCCCCCTCCACAGCCATCATCCCCAATGTCTTGAAACTACACGCCCACCCGGGTCTCTTCTAGGGGCTGGCCCCACGGGAAGAATGAGTGGGGCAGAATGCATCGTGCTTGTGAGGTGGTGAGGGAAGGGATGAGAGGGTGGCAGGCTGCACTTAGCTGTCTTCTCTTGGCCCACAGGGGATTCATACCGGGCGAGCACAGAGCTCTCCCTGGAACAGGAACAGCGTCTCAGGAACAACCTCATCTGAAGCCATCACTGCGCACTCCCAGCTGCTGCCCACACACCAGATACCTCAGCTTACTGGAGCCATGCTCTTCACGGAGCCCTAACTCAGAGGGACAGGGCCGGTGCCGAGGGCACCGAGAACCTGCTCAGGAAGCCTTTGATGGCAGGATCACTGAACCAGGATGGCACAGCTCCCTCAGGAGGGCTCTCAGGTTGTTCCCCTAGGGCCTTGGCCTATGGACCCTGGCCTCCAGGCTTTGTTCAACTGAGCTCCTCTTCCATACGGAGACCCAATCTTTCCTGTATCTTGCCCTGGTGTCCCGGGTTCAGGAGCAGTTTATAGGAATGGACGATGACCTAATCCCCCATCTAAATGAATGGTGCTTTGCCGATGTCTCAGAAGAGCAGAGGACAGAGGACCAAAAGAGACAGGAGGTGGGGTTAGCTCTCTGCGAGGAGTTCAAAGCAACACAACTTGTGTCAAAGTCACAAGTGGCAGAGAAGTAGGTGAATCCAGCCCCTTGCTTTATCTGTTCTCATTTAGATCTTGCCTCTTCTAATCTCTGAGTCTGTCCTTGTGAGCTTAATTTTAATTCTGCCACGCACATGGATGCTTCTGAGAGCCCCAGAAGCTTAGGCCTCAGGCATCCCCTATGTCCTGACGGGCAACACCAGCAGGGACTGAGTGCTTAAGAAGGGGGAAGATGCACCCAGTCAGCTAGGTAGGGGCCTTCCTGAAGCGCCAGAGGCCACCCAGAAAGACTGCTGGGCGATATGGACCCTGCCCCTGCCAGGGCCTCTGCCAAGGAACTACATGCCACGTACCTGGCAGCCAAGACAATCTCCTTCAAGATCACTGCATCTCAGGACGGGTCTAAGTTTTAGTTCTCAACCAAGCTTGTGGAGTGAACTTTGCATTGAATAAATGTTTGCAATGGAAAGAACTAGGTCAAAGAAGCCACTCATCTCTGTATGAGTAAGACAGGTATGGTGGTGTGGGGGGCGGGGACTGTGGCGACGTCAGAAGGAAGTATTTACTTTGGTTAAGACTAAATTGGGAAAAGGCGACCGACTACTCCTGCTTGATGTGGCTGTGATTCGCTCTTGCGCAGGTAGTATAAACGCCCGTGTGATTCATTTTTTCTCCACTTAGACACACCTCAAAGGTGATCTTTATGGGTCTGACACCAAATAGCAAGGAAGGCTGCTCCTCACAGACTGCTTCAGAGACATGACTCTGGGTAGCTCCTACCACATTAACTCTTTTCGCTCCACTGAGCTGATGGCTGGATGCTCAGGGCAGCGGGTAGTGCTCACACTGTCCGCTACACGTCTCAGATCACATACTCGCCTACTGCGGCTGCCCAACTCCCCGCTCACTCAGCCCTAAACATGGGTTAGAAAGGTTAAGGAATGAAAGGTGGGAGGCAAAAGGTAAAGTCCACGGGTTGTACACAGAGCCAAGCCTGCAAAGCCAGTGAATGGCAGCAGAGTCAGGCCTGCAGTCAGGACAGCTACCCTCTGCAGGGAGGAGCGGGGACGCGCGCTCTCTGTACCCTCTAGGAATACAAAGAACAGCTTTCTTCCTTCTCTCCACTCCCTCATCTCCTTCATTAGGCACAGGGAGCATTATATTTTGGCATGGCAGTTTAGGTAAACAAGGGAAGGACTGATTTCCTGTTGGATCCAGCAAACATCTCCCAAACAGTAACAACATTATACTCACACATGCAGCTAATGGTCTGTGAAAGAATGTGCAGCTAGCGGGGGAGCGTGTGGTGACTGATGACTAGATTCAGGCAGGGAGGTTACCCACAGCTTCTTGCTGGATCGAGTTTCCAAAAGGGCCAGAAAAAGCTGGCAAGGCGGCCAGCCACCGGCTCTGCTCGTCTTGCCGCCCACATCACACGCTTGATAGGTGTAGCCAGTCCTAATTCTTGGAAACAGCTATACAAGGGTTGTGCTGTTACACCTCCCGGCTGAAAGGGGAGGACATGCAAAGGCTGGAGGCTGGCGCGACTTGTAACTAGATGAGGAATGTTAGCAGAATACCAACCACCACATTCCAGGCAGAACCAAAAATGTCAAAAGATTTTCACCTTGGCATACTTAGCCTCTGAGAAACTCAAGTGCTAGGAACCTCAAGTTACTATTTAGAAGCCTAATTTGTTCCTACTTCACAGACCTTCACTCTATGGGAAGTGTATTAGAACAAGGGGGGATGTATCTTTCTGTTGTGAATCGCAGTGATCCTAGGATTTAGACCCGACACGCCTGGAGCACGCGACGGTCTCACCATGACTGTCACACACAGCGAAGGGCGTCCACTGGCTTCCCAAATGGCTGATCAAGGAGCCGATGGCAGCTCAAGTCGTGTCCCCGCTAGCCCAGCTTGTGAAGTGTAGTGACTGTGACCAAGGACTGGATCCTCACCTGACAAGCTTGCTAAAAGACTTAATGGGTAGTGAAAGGCCATCTGACCTCCAGTCAATCCAGCTACTGGGGGATTATAACTAAAACCCCCATTTCCTACTAATGGTGGAAGCAGCAGCACAGCTTAGTTTTCAGTATTGGCAAAAAAAAAAAAATCTTTTTTGCTTATTCTTTTTTGTTAAAGTTATGGTGGCTGATAGCTAGCTGAAAAACAAACAAACAAAAAAAACAAGCTACTAGCCATCTCTCGCCCACCCATAGAAAACATTAATTTGTTAGAAAATTTGAGGACTACAAGGAAGCTGAGTAATAAATGTATCTTACCATTAACAACCTTTATCAGCCAAAATGCTGTCAGGGAGGGTAAGCTAGGAGCGATACCCTTACCGTCCAAGGACCCTCTCCACCTCAAAGAATCCTAACAGAATAAAGGGGCACCTCAGAGGTCTGCTAGCAGTATGAAGCCTGGCCACGATTCCCTAATTTCCCTTCGAATGCAGTCACATTGGCCTTGCCAACCCACCTATCCTTGGAGAAGTCAGTTTGTGAAGACAGAGAGGGGTATGGAACACTGTCCAAAACTTAACCCCCAAAACGTGGGATGGAGGCATTGAACAGTAACAAGAGACACTTCAGACTGACCAAGAATGAGACAAACACTGCTGAGGAAGTCTGGCTTTCAGACCAGAACAGCAGCAGGGATGGGTGGGTCAGGACTGAGACCCAAGGCCAGTGCCATCTGAGAAATACCCGAACAGAGCCCCACCCCACCATGTTCTCGGCAATGCTAATAAAATCCATCATTGTCATGGGCTCTAAATCATACAAAAACGAGGCTGCTGCCCTCACTAAAGAACAATGAGACACTATCTCTGCTGCTGCCCAACAGTGCAGAATTACTTTCCCAAAAACCTTGAGCATGGAGAAATGAGGTGGGTAAAGCCCAAGCTGATGGTGTGGACTCGTTGAGTCCTTCATGGACTCTCTCACTGCCCAGAGGTGTTTGCTTGGTCCTGGCTGCTTTGCGTTGTAAGAATGGTGCTTGTCAATGCCTTTGGCACAGGCCAAGAAGATCACACCAAGAACATGCTGTGTGCCAGATGCTGTCTGTAAGGATGTCCATACTGGACAGAAATGGGAAAAGGCAAGAGGCTGGGCTGAGGGTGCACAAGAAAAACAGGGAGAGAGGGGCAGCCACTTACCAATCCCAGCAGAGAGGCTCTGAAATATACTCAGGGGCAGAGAGATCAGCTCTCTACCTAGTGGAGCTGAATAAAATCAACAGACTCACTGAACCCATGCACAGTAATACGGGGATGGGGGAGAACTGCTCTCCAATTTCTTTGTGGGAATGACAAAATGACAAATACCAGAGTGACATGCAGCATAAAATGGATTTTAATATCTTCCTCTTACATGATAGCACGGCTTCAACTACAACCGGCTCTCCCAAAACTGGTTTCCTATGAGAAATGACGCTGGCATACCTCTGGCTGCCGTGCAGCAGGAGCAACCCCAGGCTCTTGCTAAGGACAAAGTCTGGAGTCCAAACACCCACATCAGGCAGTTCACCAACTCTGGCCTTCTGGAACTGGCAGTGTATATCTTATGACTAGACACGGTTATACCTCTTTGTGCTAACTGCTCTCTCCCCTTTCCCTTCCCCCCAACACTGCCATTCCAGCTTTGTGTGGTTCTATGGAATAAAAACACCCTGCTTTTGCAGGACCTAAATCTCTCATCATTGCAGGTTTGAATCCTCTGCTTGGTATTTGCCTAAAATGTCTTGGAAGTGTGGCCCATGCTAATGTGACCTGCCCTGGAAAGTCACATCTTCCAAGCTTCTTCCTGGCTGGTGCGCAACACAGTAAGCGCAACACGGTAAGCGATTCCAAAGAACTGCATTTAGGAGTGAAGACAGACAGAAGTCTATCTACTTTCCACACTCTTATCAGTCCTTGTCTTGATCGCTGTTATCTCTTTCCTTCATCAGCATGCACATCTGCTTTTACACAGAGGTCGTGAAGGATCCTCTTAGCTGGAAGAGGATGGAAATTATTTTCTGAATTCATGGAGTTAATCCCTTTCATTGAGTGATGTTCAAACTTCAGACTGGTCTCTGCCTTCCCAGATGTCTTCCCGTTGCTTGGCTTCTAACCGTTTTCTCTCTGTAAGTGAGGGCAGTGTTAGGAATGGTAGCATTTCTTTATAACCAGTGACTTTCCTTTCATCCAAACTTTAATCATGAGACAGGTGGATTTCCTAGCCTTCTCTTGCCTGATTAAGAGTTTATATCTTTAACTTTCCAGGTGCTTGAAACAGTACTATAATAAAAAAGAAAGATCTGAGACTAATGGAAATAAAAAGTGTATGGAATACCTAGCAGGACCAGATGCTTGTCTTACTTTAATTCTACTTCTCAACTGTGTTAGTGCTTTAATACGGTTGCCCATTATTACCGGTTTACTAATACTTACTAATATTTCAATAGGAATGAAAGTTTCAATATTATTCTTCTACCTTCTTGTTCAACTGGAAATAGTAATAGAGCTTTATTCACAGTTCCCTACGACAGCCTTTCAGAAGTTTCAGAAGCAAGTCAAATTTTATTTTCAGGGTACTGCCAGGAACCAAAAATCTTACAGAACATACAATTCTGTAAGAAAAAATTCTGAAAAAGAAATGACCACATATAATGGAGTTTGGAAAACTAGGACTAGTTTTAAAAACTAAAAATGTACAAATCTGGGCAATCTACCCTCATTTAACACAAATGCTTAATTCTCCATTTAACACTCACCAAGACCTTAGAAAATAGTCCATACATGTTTGGCAGCTCAAGCATTTTGTCACGTAACATAATACTAGTTCTAATTTCTTGGCAAGTTATTTATCTTGATACCATGAAATACAGATGATAAGCTTAGTAAGTGTTTCCTTCCAAGGGCTACTATTTCAGATGACATCTGAAAAGATCCTGCTAATCATGAACCAGGAGGATTAGAGAAATCAAGGAAAGTTTAGAATTAACACCTGCTATTTTGACATTATCTTTCCAGTTAGTTGGATCTCTTCTGATATTCCTACACTACATTTGACTTGTACTTTGAGAGCAAAGAACTTGGTCAGGAAGTTCTGGCACTTGGAAAAGTAAGAAATTTGCTGCTATTGGGGCACCATCTTGTGGCATTATCAGAATATAGCAGCCAAGTTGCAAGAGGCAAAAAATGGGGGTCAGCAAAATCCAACTCAAAGGTCGCTAACACCATGTCCTGTGACTCAGCTTCAAGGCAGGCTTGCGGGAAGGTGGAATTCTCCTGGGAAGAGCACCAAGGGAAATGGCTTGTCTAAGCAATTCCAGGATTTCCTAGGAAGATACTCTAGGTTGGATTCTTACAAATACAGAAAAGTTATGAAGGGATGGAAAGGCAGAGGTAGCTTTGGATGAAGGCAAAGCTGGTTCTGGATTCCAAGGAAAAGTGAAAAGACCAAAATACTGAATTGTTAGAACTCAAAATCTAACATTAAGCTTGGGAACTTAAATCAAAAAGGCAATAGGGAAAGTTTTAAGAAATCCAGAAGCAGTAGAAAATACAATGACTAGACTGTAATTCTAAAGTCAAAGCAGCTCTGAAAAACAGTGTTTTTTTTTTTAGTTTGGTGACAAACCTCAGTTAGTGGTAAATGTAATGTGAAAGGATACAACCCTGCTTGTAGTCTTTACAGATGCCATTTAGTGTGAATAAGTTACACAGTGCTGCAGAAATACTCTCAATGTACCTGATTTTGGCATCATGAAATTTATATTAAGATAAATGTTACTTACCTTTCTAAAATTCTGAATTTTAGAAAATTTAAATTCTAAAATAAAAATTCCAAAACATTTCCTACCCCAAATGTTTTCTAACAAAAGAATGTAAGTCTCAAGGACCAAATACATGTAACTATAAAAGGAAATTCTAGTGGCACATGATATGAAGAAACCTTTAAGGACAAGTAGTCAATAAGCACAAAGAAATCGTGAAAATGTGCGGTATACACTCAGAAATAAAGAACATGAGCAGAGCAGAGAAAGAGCGGTTAGGATGAGACTTAACAATATTTTCTTCATTTAAAAGAGGAAGTAGAAGTTTGAAGAGGTCAAGTGAATTGTTTACGGTTACTTAAATCATTGAAAAACTGAGCATGGAACCTAGTCATCTTTAGTTCTTAAGCCAACATACTTTGTACTATACTGACATCTGAAAATATAATCTGAAAGATATACAAAGAAAAGGGGAAAAATTTGAAAATATAATGAGAGAAAAATAAACATGTTCTCTCTTAAAAAGAAAACATGTAATAGCTGACAGACTACATGAAAATGCTATTAACTTTACCTCCAACAATTAAAAAAAGTAAACTAAGAGAAAGCCAAACAGAAGCCAAAGGGCCAGGAACTAAAGAAGAATAGAAAAACAAGAGTGAAATGATTAACCTAAGGTTATTAACATGAGCTGGCCCTAGAGACTTTCATTTCCTAGTATGATAAATAAATTGGCAGAAATTACTATATTAAATGAGTTGATTGAAATCACTGCCTCTCACTGAGGCAACAGAAAGTGTTGAAGATTTTAAAAGGGCTAGTTTGGTGTTGTGTTCGAAAAGAAATAAAGGGATGCAAATTAAAACTTTCAAAATTTACTTCTATACTTAAGAACATAATGGGGAAAAAATCATCACAAAATCCACTTTCAGCCACCTCCAGAGTACTAATCAACATAAAGACCTGAAGTACAAGGTCTGGTCAAACTAATCTAATTGCCTTCTTTCATGAATTGACAAACCTGGTAGATCAAGGAGAATATAAGTTACCTCTTAATTTTAGCAAGGTTTTCGATTTACCAAGCATTTATATAATCATTAACATACTGGAAAGTACAGCCCAGATAACATTAAGTGTTAAGGGGGGAATTTAAGTACAGAGAGTGGAGTGATTATCTATGTCACCAAGATAATAAAAGATAATCAACACAAAGAACTAGGTACTATTTATTCAGCAGTAATGAATGGGCTGGTCAGTCCCAGGATTAACATTTTTGTCTCTTGACATAGGCCAGGGACAGAAGTTTATTTAAAAGCAGGTGACACCCAAACTATGGGTAATTACTGTATCACAGAAGAAAAATAATCACACTAACATGGGAGAAGTGTGGTTTAAAATGAAGGGACCTTCACATCAAGGGAGAGAAAGCACCAAGAAAATGCCAAAAGACCTGACTTTAAGTCAGCAGATGCAGCATTGCCCTTTGAGGGCAGTAAAGGTACCTGAAAAAACATTTCAGAAGTAACCATTGTGATTAATATTTTCTTACTACAGAAGACTAAATATTCTATAGAAATCACTTTATTTTTAAGTTCTTAGTGATTTAATTAAGCAAATTAGGAGAGAAAAGTATTTTTTACTTACTTTGTGCCTTTCAGGCCTGTGACCCAAAAGAGGGTCTTTTAGAATAATAATTATTATCTATTATAGTAAAAAGTTATCAAATAAAATATGGCAAGCTTTGAAAATGAGAAGAGAGCTTATTCTGAGAGGTAATGAGTTGTACTACTAATTTTAAGTCAGAATCAAGGTGTTTTGAGGAGTGGGACATGGGGAAATTTTACATGAATTGCCAAGTTAAAATGTGGTTTCCTTACTTAGCGTGAATCACTGGCTTAAAACACCTGTATTAAAGTCAAATACAGAGCACTCAGCAATGACATATGCTTTCATTTCCAACTGTTAGCATAACTTTGATGTGTTATACATTCTGCTGGACTAAAAAATACTTTCTCCATGTTCAAAGATTATTTCCTCCTTAAACATACAATATGATTTTCTTAAATCATTTTGGTACTTATTTCTTGATTCTTCCCAGAGTAGCTTTACTTTCTAAACTTCCTAAGGAATAAGACAGAGACTTCTCATTTAAAGGGTGAGAAGAACAAAGTGGGATGGAAAACTTAGCAGCAACAAATTTAAATCTCAAAATCACAAATCTCAAATTCATTAATTAGAAGGATTTCATGAATATTACTCAACTCCAAGTTTTATAAACTATCGAGGACTTGATGGGTTTCAGCATAGAATCATGAATGAATAAAGATTTATGAAGAGAAATGAAAAGAGCCAATTGCACTCATGTATTCCATTCAAAGAACTTGTACACTGAGTATCTTTGTGTGTCCCAGGCACTGTGCCTGACAGCAGAGTGCCTAGGAAACGATCTCTAGTATTGTTAATAAAAATGTGGACACCAGGATGACACACAGATTTAAATCCCCATCCTAATTCTCACCAGCTGGCAACATCACGTCAAAACACATTATGAACATCATGACTCACTAGCATGACTTGGTCTGTCATGGTCATGGACGGGGGCAGCAGTACATACTGCCTATCTATTATTAGCTTATGTTATAATGTGAATTAACTGTCCAACAGTGATATAAGCAACAATACATTGAATGTGTAAAGCACCTTTCTAAACCTTTTTACATATATTAACATATGTTGTGCTCAAAAAATGCTCCATGTTTAGGTTAAATCAAACATTACTTTCATTTTGTTGGGCACAGAGAGGTTTAAGAGACTTGCCTACAGCCACACAGCTAGTAAATGGCAGAAACTCTATTATGGCTCAGATTCCCTAGTCCAAATGATCAGCCACTGATCTTTATAGTTGAAAGTTGTGATAACAGAATGGTGTCCAGATGTTGCCTGTTTCTAAAGGAAAATGAGGAACCTGGTCTAAATTATCAACAGATTTAAGCTAGACTAAAGAAGAATTTGCTACAGCAAAAGCTCTTACCATGAAAAGGTAACAAAAAAAGTCTGTATAATTTATTTCTGAAGGTCTTAAAATTTATTTCTGGGGAAAATAATGTTAATTACCCCTAAAATCCTTCAAAGGGGATTACAGTTAATATAGAAGGAGTATGAGTTTTAACAAAAGGCCTAGGTTCAAATGCTTCTCAATTTATCAGCTGGGTGACCTTAGGCCAGGTACTTAACTTCTCTGGGCGAGCTCTACAAACTAGAGATAATACTATCCACCACAATGTTATCATAACACAATGACATCATAATATATTACATTGCCCAAGTTTCCTTCCAATCAACAAAAAATATTTTAATGGCTTTTAAATCTTGAAATCTTCACAATGAATCAAGAGAGGCAACAATAACTTAAAATACAAGATTCACATTTTCTTCCTTATTCCAGGCACAAACCCACATTAGACTGTAAATCTTACAGGAAGGAATAAAATCTTCCTATCTCTGAAATTCTCCTAAATAGGGAGCACAAAGCTTTGCACAGGGCAGGCACTTAAATGAACACCAAATGTAATGATAGATTATCATAGGAAATTTAAAATAAAAGAGAGTAATGACAAAAAATAGGCACTACAATCTGTTTTAGACTCACTATATAATGATATTGCTACCATTACTAATAAAAACAGCAGCAGCTAACATTTATCACATACTTATGGGTCTATAGAAATAAGAAAGAGAGCATCTGTATGGTTTCTGGAGATAATTAAATGTTTTTCATTGATTATCTCATCTGATTTCCATTTTATGGATGAGGAAACAGAGGCCTCCAGAGAATGACTTGGCCATGGTCTTACAGCCAATGAACAACAGAATTAAGATACAGACCCAGGAAATCTAACTGCAGACTTTATAATGCTAGCTACCGCTATACTGGACCCTTCTCCTATACTGGGAGAAGAGCTGGACAAAAATCTTTGCTTTCTTAATAGCTAGACAGTACTTCTAATTGCCACAGAAAAAAACTCTTTAAGTGAAGAACCTAGGACTCCATAAAGGCAGATATAAGAGTATCTGCTCAATACATAAAGAAGCCAGAAAGAGATCTGGATATATCAGATAGATCAGGAATTTTCCATACACATTTTCTCAGATACGAAGAATGAGAAAGCTCTGGAGCATAATAAAGGAAGAATCCTCTATCATCTGTACAGTCTCAGCACCAATGCTTAGGAGGAACTTACATCATGGGGTTTCTATTCACAGCTAAATGTCTCCTTTTAAAAATTAAGGAGTAGGTCACCCAATTAACCAACAGTCTCATTTTTAGTAGCTTCACTGAAATGTCCTTTGTATAGCAAGGCATTAAAACAACTACTTCAAATGGAGCTGCAAACTGACGTGCCTAGAGAGAAATAGAAAGAACATTCGAAGATATCCATGCAAGATGACTGCTGTAGTATCTGTAGAGATACAGGTGATATTACACTCATAGGTAAGCATGATACACTGCAAAAAGAGACACATCTCCTTTTATAGATGCACTATTATTACCCTCTATTGATCTTCTAAGATAACCAGGGCTATCAGAGAAATCATTTTCCTCAGAGACAACCAATTAATAAAGGGTTAAGAACACTGCACAATCTCCTTTAATCTAGTCCTACTATTGCCAGCTGTAAAAAAACCAGAGGAATCCTCCCATTTCTATAGTCTGTAAAAGACCTTTAAATGAAAGTGCATTGGAAACTCAATACTGCCTCATTATAATCATTAAGGTTTCAAAAATTAGTTGGTTTCAACTCTGAAACTCTAGCACCTGCCATGACATACTCTGTCACTGGTTATCTGGCCAGTGCAGCTGAGAGTCCACAAGCTGCCTGCTATCACCAAAGCAGAGTGGACAGGAAGTATTAATAGCCTTGTTAGACCAGCTATAAACAAGGAGTTTGAAACTTCAATTCATTTAAAGGAAAAATGAAGTTACTTTTTGGTAAGTGGAATTTTCAGAATAAATTGTCTTCACAGATTCCACCATTTGTGGGCCTGCAGATTGAAAAAGTACTCAAGTGCAAAGCGGGATTCCCAAGCCTTTACATACAAGTCACTAGTAGCCTACAAAGGGGAGAGAGGATTTTACCCTTGACTTCAAAGTGTTTGTGGATCAGTCAAAATATTTAAGAACTTTTTTAGATCCTGAAAAAAAATCACCAGATTGGCTCCATTAGAGTACATCTAGATTAACCTATCAAGACTGTCATTAGTGGGGAAAATATACCTCCTATAGTTATCATCATCAATGTCAGCTGCCGTTTTTCCTGTTTGTCTTCTCTCTGAGATCAACCCTTGGTAACAATAACATTACTGCCTAGTGAAATCGTAGCAAATGATGATTTTTCTTTCTTTATCTGGGAGTCTATAAACACTTTCACAGGAAAATTTTTCTCAAGAATTGGAGCCAGTACTATGGACAAAGCTATGGATGAACTGAGAAGACGGAGCCTATCTCTTGGAAAACAACAGCAGGCACATGGATTAGGATGCCTTGGTGTGTGGAACAAGCAGACAAATCCTGAAATGTCATCCCCTAAATATAAGGCATGAAAACAATTTCAATACCCTTGAAAGGCTTCTGGGAAACGAAAATGACAAAATGGAATGAGCTTCATTTGTTTTTATTTTTTTACACATGCCTTAGAGTGAGCTCTAAAGGGACTAGAGAAGAATGTCATAACTTCAACTTACCTCGGGCTGCTTGTAGTTTCTTGAGCTCTGCTTCCCTTTCAGATTTGCTCTGCTTACTTCGAACCCCAAGGGCACTGATGACTAACCTTCTGGCTAGGGCTGCGGAAGTCTCAGGGCGCTCCTTTGCAGGCTGGAGGAATTCTGAAAGGGAGAGAGGGTGGGGGTAGTAGGGAGTAAGGAAGAGAAAGCACTCTAGCTCCGAGTGATTTAACTCAGTAATTAACATACAAAAAGACTAACAAGGGCTGCATCAGCAGTAATTAATACAAGCCTGATAGATGACGGTCAGAGGAAATTAACATGGCAAAGCACAAACAACTCTGGCTTCATTATCTGTATTAACACAATTTCTTACAGTGACTCTATCCAGCAGTTTAACAAGAGGTAAACTTGGTAAGATGTCACCAGAAAGGGTGCTGCTGCTTTGCTGCTGCATCTCCCACATCTCCCACTCTCTCCAGGTAGTGGCTACTCAAAGGCCCTATTTCACCACAGCCTTTTCTCTTTTCCTTTAAAAATGTATTTCCTTTAACACTAATAAAAAGTCTTTGGAACAATGGATGCTGCACAGCTATGAGAAAAAAGAAAGTAATACCACTATCAACAAGGAAAAAACCAATTACAGGCTCACCTGCATAAGCTCTAGCCTTGGCCTTGGCAGCTCTTGTGGCCTGTGACAAGGGCCGGGTCTTCACCATGGTATGTTTACTACCCAGAGCGTCACGAGCTGTAGAAGAAATGGAGGAGAGTGATGCAAAGCGAAAATTTAGGGGGAGTTCTTAGAAGGTATTTCCTAGACGTGTGTGTTTTTTTTTCCCCTTTCCTGACAACAAAAGAGATGAAAACTCGGGAAATCCATAAGGAACAAGTTAACTTGGCAGTGATTACGTTAGATGAGGGATCAGCAAACTATGGCTCTGTGACCATATGGCTTTATTATCTATTCAAGCACCTGTTTTCAGACATAGAAACCTCCCGAACCAGCTTTGCCAGTTCCTGTGCATACTGTCTACTGATACTTTCTAAAACAGCAGTTAAATCGGGACAGAGATCTTATGACACACAAAGCCTAAAATATTTACTAGTAGCCCCTTTGCACACCCCTATTCTAGGTGGATCAGACAAGAATCAACATCTCTAATTTCTTTGATGTCTCCACATGTTTCTATCCTGAAGCTGATGATGGATGTAAAATGGTCTCATCATGTACTTAGAATGTAGGTATTATAATTTCTCACTAGATATGTTTAGGGCTGCTTCAAATTCATCTATGGTGGGAAAAAATCTTAAGTATGAGATTTATTAACAGTGGCTTCTTTTCTACCTAAAACCTTTTTATGTACTATAACTGACAGTTATGTGGCATATAACCTCCAAAGCAGTTGACTCTCCAAAATATCACTGGCTTATGGTATAAAGGGAGAAGAGAAACACATAGGTGGCAAAATCTGTATCTGCCAATTACCTATATGGCTGAATAAAATACCAGTTGGGGAGAGAAATAAAGACAACAGCAAGAGGAAATAAACAGTAAAAGAATATTGAAATTCATTGAGTGAATACCTGTAATAGGACTGGAGAACACTCCTAAAGCATGTGTATCATCTACCCATTTTATATCAAATCCTTTCTTTCTGCAACAAAAGAACACAATTTTATGTCTTAAAGTAGAATTTACTTTCATAAAGTCTCATAAAACTTATCATTGTCATGATAAGACAATGTTAAACACTCAACAAGCACAAGGTGGAATGAGGATAGTAACACAAGAAACAACCTGGAGGACAGAAAAAGCCACTACATTTTAAAAGCATAATACCATCATAAAGAAAATACCTGGGAGTATTTTACATCCTCAACCATTTTATAGACATCAACTCATTAATCCTCAAGTCCCTTGAGGAGGCAAAGTATTTAATGCACTATTTACAAGAGATGTTCTTCTAAGTATGGAAGAAGAAGAGGTGGAAAAAGAAAGCAAACGTAGGGATCAACAAAGGAGGAGATAGCAGGGAAGGCCAAAAGGATTTATTTAACACAAAATGGGCTCAAGGACAAAGACACAGAGACAGTGAGAGACAGCTCATTCAACGTAAAATAAAAAAAAACAAGTAATGGAGAAAAAGTAAACTACAATTAAAGAGGCTGACCTTTTCTCCCCCTTACTATAGGAAAAAAAAAAAGCAAGAAAGGGGAAAATAGAAAAGATTGTGGCAAAGTCAGAAAATTCAGGATAAAAGAAATCAAGATAAGAGAAATACCAGGCCAGATTAGAAAGATCCAAGAAATGAACGTGTAAGTACTAAAAACCCCCTTTATTCTGGAGCAGAGCTGTCTAGTGAACACAAGGACTGTCAGGATGATATGACTATTATTTTCTCAGGATCTTAAAACGTTCATGGACTCGCACAGGATTTTGAAAGCACAAGGTTTTGAGGGTCAGATATAACTGGTCTTAGGTTCTGCCTCAATAGGTGGGCAGGTTTAACCATTCGTGAAGATCTGGTCATTTGTGGTGAACAATGTTGTTGTGGAAGTGAGATGATCCATGATAAAGCAAAGAACATGATGTTGAACACTTAGTGGGCATTTAACAAATGAATGACGCTCGTTATTTTTTATTATTACTAGCAATATTCATCTGGAAGATTAATAATATTGATGAAGTGATTAAAACATGAAGCTGACTCTGATAATTGACTCACAGATATGTTATGACAGGTATTTTGCACTTTATAACTTTATTTTTATAAAGCACTACAGTTAAAAAAAAAAAAAGACAACTGCTAAAATAGCTTTTCTCTTTACCCAATCAAGAAAAAAATTCCTTTGAAGGAAAAAAGAAGGCTTTGAAAGTTAGTTAAAAAATTTCCTGAATGTAAGGTTTAGTTTGACCAGTGCATACAATGACTACAGGGGTTGGTTCAAAAGTTCAATACTGTGAAAAAGTTCAATGGTAAAGGTCTGTGTTATAATAGTTTATAAAAAGGCTAGAAAACTACCAAGATGGGTTCTGAAGGGTCTTTTAGACTTTGGAATTTCACAATCCTTTAAAATGCTTCTCTCTTTTGGGAATCTTTTTGGGTTTTACTGAAAAATGATATTACAGGTAAGATCAGGATGAAATAAAACAATGGGAAGTTAATCATTTGTAAAAACTAGCTAATTTCCAGGAGATTCTAGACATCAATAAAACTGATACTTAGTTTTGAAGATCATCATCATTATTAAGGACAACGTAAAACAATGCTAATCTGTGAGTTCGTAAAACAATGCTAATCTGTGAGTTAATCTTCTTACCGCTTTAAAAAAAAAACCTACATGTTTTATATGGAACATGCATTGACAGTGAGTCTTAATATAACTATAACTATTAGATTGGCCTACACTGTATGTTTAGAGTAAAATCTACGGCAAATTGTTCCTTGCCCTTTCAGGATTCAATCTGATAGTATAGAACTGATACTCTCCCCAACCAAATACAAGTGAGGTACTTGGCTGCTAGTTTTGTCTGTTCTAGACTTTATAGAAAAATAGGATGCTGAATTTTGTACGTAAGTTTTACTGAAGATAGCCACGCTAATTTGTTTATGTGTTGTTTTTGGCTGCTTCTGTGCAACAATGGCAGAGTTACATCTGGCCCATTATATAACAAAAACTGGAGGCTAACTCCCAATTCATATAGATTATAAATTCAAGACATATACGAATCAAATTTTAAATTTAATTTTATGGTTTCAGACATAGAGCCTAGTTCTTTTTTAATATCAGGCTTAGAGCAGTAAAGTATAATCCTTAGTACTGACTTTCTTTCAGAGCCTGAAAATCTTTTTCTTAATAGTTTTCTTGCTGGATTATTTCTTTACTCCCAAAACTTATTTTTTCTTGTATGTTAGAGATATAAAGGTAGTCTTCTGTCTCTTTAAGTTCTCCTATATGTGTACATGTAACAGCTGTTCTAAAACCTACTTGTATCAGTTTCAACTTATAATTTTACTACACAATTTAATAAAATTAACCCAATGAAATAAAAGTGTGATAAAAAAGAGTTGGTATATCTATAGAAACACAGTTAAGAGCTTTGAATGACTAAAGAAAGGTGAAGTCACTAAAAAAATCCAAAAATCTATTATCATTTAAGTTTGGACAAAACAGCTATTAAAGACAGCAAACATTCTAAACTATAAGGAATATGCACTCAGAAAGAATGTTAAACTTCTTGCTCTACTTTAAAGACATGAAGCTGGAAATAACAGGTTAAAATTATAAGGAATAATTAAAAGAACTCTTTACCAAAAGGCTAGCAGCTCAAAAAATAAATAAATAAATAAAGGCCTTGTCACCATAATAAACACTTGCAAGTGAACGGTCATTTGCAGGTATTAAACTATTTGAGACACAGTACAATCTGTATTTTTTTTTTTTAACCATTTTACGCTGGACCATTTCTATGCAAGTGGTGTGAACAGCCTCAAATCAATAATTTAATTTAGTGTTCCTGGGCTGTTAGCACCCCAGGTGCTTGGCAAAAGAAAATACATAGCCTTTCCGTAGAAATCCTTTTCTTTTGTTGTAGACCTCAATTTCCATAAACAAAATTCCAAGGAAAATGATCAGTTCATAATAAATAAATCAATAACTCTCACAATCCTGCCTTCAACCCCCAAAAACAAGGCGCTATGATCAAACTTATAGAGACAGAAGTAAAGGAACTTCAGTTAAGAGAATTATCAGATACAGAATAAATGAGGTCTGCAATTAAAAATCCTTAATGAAATAAAAGAAAAAAATCTTTAAAATACTTGGAGAAAACAAGAAATTAAAAAATGACCATGAAGATTTTTAAAAAGAAACAACAAACTTTGAGAAATAAGATTTAAATGTTCAATGTGATTTAACAGCAACTTATAAACAGCTAATGAAAAAAATACTGAAATGGAAACTAAAGCTTAAGTTACATTCTGAAATTATTCAGAATGTAACAAGTAGAGCTGGAAAACATAAAAGAGAGATAAAGTAAAAATTAAATGAAAGGTCTATTAATATTTAATTGACATCTTAAGAGAAGGCAAAGGGACAGAGGCAATATCTGAGACAATGTCTCAAGAGCAACATATTAATGTATTCTCCAAATCAATGAAAAACACTACTGAACACTGATTTAAGAAGCACAACCAATCTCAAGAATAAATTATGAGAAACACAAATACGCCAGATAGCATCCAAAAAGAAAACACAGTACATTCAGAAACAACCATTTTTAGACATTAAGCTGGTTTCTCAACATTCAGAGTGTAGGACAGAGCAGATAGCTTCAAATTTCTGCAAGAACAACTGCCATCCTAAAGTTTTATACCCAGTAAAAATATCTTTCATGAACAAAGCCCAAATAAAGTCATTAAAAACAAACTGAACCTGTTATTAGCAGACTGCTACTAAATTAAGTGATAAAGATTTTAAGTCCGTGCAGTAAGAAAAAGATTTCTGATGGAAAATACAAGATGCAAGAAGAATAAATGGAAAACATAGAAAGTGGATAAATCTAAACACTGAATAACCACTGTAAGGTCAAGTGAAATCTAAAAGAGAAAAGAGAAGAACAAAGATATAAATAGCATATATTTTGTGAATGGGAAGACTGGAATTAGGGAATGGAATTAAAAATCCCTACAGTTCTTGGAAAGCGGGTAAAAAGCATTATTTTTAGCCATTCGTAAGTTTAGCATGCATCTGTAATTTCTAAAATAACCAAAGAACAGAAAGAGCATCATTTCCCCCTCCCAAAATGGAATGAAAATAAGAATACCTCATCAATCCAAAAGAAGGCAAGAAAGAAGAGAAAAAGATGGAACAAGTAAACACATATAAAAGGAAGTCAGGTATACATCCACATACATCAATAATTACAACAAATATAAATGTTACCAACTGCATTATGAAAATAGATTCATGAGTCATCACTTCTTAAATCTAATATGGGGTAGAGAATTTTTAGGGAAGCTAGAAGATGGAATAGTTTGTACAGAAGATTTTCAATGAACTTGGAAAAGACAACAAACTTAATGCTAAAATAAACATCAGGGAATACAAAAACAAGAAGTGACTTTTCAGAAGAAACTTAGAAAACTGCAACCCACCTTTCCTAACATTCCTCACAATTTGCAATTTGTTACTTACTGGTAACAGCAGAAAATCCGTAGAAGGTCTTCAGTACGAAATTCTTGGGGAAAGTCATAAATTTCAATAACATGTGGGAATTCACAGTCACTGAGATCAATATCAGAAACTTTGTGGTTGTAATAATCAAAGTTAGGTTCCTGGATGCTTTCTCTGTTGTTCATATTTCCTGATAACTAGAGAGGTGAAAGCACATAAATGACTGTTGTATCAGGTCAGAGCTTTCCCATAGCTTTCCCATATAAACAATTCTCATTCCCATTATGAACAATATATAGCTTCCCATATAAACAATTGTCTATGTCTATGTATACACTGCCTCAACTTTTAGCATTCTCTATGTTAATGCTGTTCATGACTACAATAATGACCAGAGATCTATCACCAAGTTAATCTTATACATGTCAAGTACTTGAAAAGGTGTTGAATTTTCAGTGAAGGCAATATACGAAACTTAGCCTCTATCCATCAAATGACACGCGAGAAAATGTACAATGATTAATCAGTTATAAATGGTACAACATAGAAAATGAATTTCAGAAAACAGATGAAGAAGTGAATTAATAACATTTGTTTTATTTGAGTTTATTGATCAGGCTCATCTCATAGTTTCTTTTCTGGAACTGAACAAAAACAAGCCAACATTTTTAAAAATCAAAAAACTGTTAACCCATGTTCACTGTATGTATTAAATAAGGCAGCTTACAAGGGAATTTAAGAAAAATGTTATGAGATGATGCAGTAAGTGCTTAGCATACTGCCTGGCACATACTTTAAACAAATTTTAACTGAGAGCTAACTCTATGCTTAGGATATAGAAAGCAGGAAGAGAATATTCCTTTCGCTGTATTAATGGGAGCTGAAATAAATGGTAACTTTTTTTAGTTCACCAGAGAGCTGAGTACGCAAGACAATCAAGGAGATTGAAATCCACAGAATGACAAGTCCTTCTAAAGAGAAACAGAACACATAAACTGTTTGTCATCGGCAAATCATGGGAAGAAGTGGTCATGTTAGAAGTGGCAAGAAGATACCAGTTAAACTTTTAACAAAATCTTAAAACTCTATGGTGGGATAGTGTTTCAGTTTAGAATAACTTCAAGACAATGGGAGTCTGTAATCACTTGCAAGTCCATTTTTATGCCAGCATCATACTGTCTTGATTACTGTGGTTTTATAATAGGTTTTGAAATCAGGAAGTCTGAGTTTTCCAACTTTGTTCTTTTTTTCAAAATCACTCTGGCTATTCTGGGTCCCTTGCATTTCCATATGAATTTAAGGATCAGTTTGTCAATTTCTGCAAAAAAAGAGCAGCTGGGATTGTGTTGAATATGTAAATCAATTTGGGATGTATCTTAACAATATTAAAAATAGAGGAACATGGGATGTCTTCCATTAATTTGGGTCTACTTTAACTTCTAGCAATGTAATTTTCAAAGTACAAGCTTACACAACTTTTGTTAAATTTATTCTTGACTTTTTTGCAAATGGAAATGTTTTCATTTCATTTTGGATTTCTGATACTGATTTTTTTAGTTGCTTTGCAAAAACCAAACTAAACAAAGCACTGTATGTTCATGCATTGATAAACTGGGTCTAAAATGTATCATGAGAGGTAAACAATGTCTAACTACAAACTATTTTTGAAACATAAATCCTAACAACAGATTAAAAAGAGGAATGTAAAGACAGGGAGGATGGTTTGATAGGAAAACCTGATGATGTTCTGCTCTAGCCTCGTCAGTAGAATTGGACTGCACACTTAGATATCATTTTTGACATAATTATTAACCTTTGTGGCTTCTGGAACTAAAGAAATTTGTTAATAAGAGCAAAACGGTTTATTACTCTACATTTCATGGGACAATATAGTCCTACATAACCTAACAACAGGGATACATTTTGAGAAATGCATCATTAGGCAATTTCAACACTGTGAAAATGTCATACAGTCTATTTACCCAAAACTAGATGATACCAACAACTACGTATCTAGACTATGTGGTATAAGCTACCACTCCCAGGCTACAAATCTGTATAGCATGTTGTACTGAATACTGCTGGCAATTTTAGCACAATGGTATTTGTGTATCTTGACATATCTAGACTTAGAAAAGGCACAGAAAAAGTAGTTTAAATGATTAAAAACAGGACACCTGCATAGGGAACTTAACATGAGCGGAGCGTGAATGTAAAGGCCCAGAGCATTATTATGCACAACTGTAGACTTTATAAATATTGTACACTTAGGATGCACTGAAGTTATTAAACAATATTTTTCTTTCTTCAATAAATTAACCTTAGTTGCTATGTTTTTTAATTTATAAACCTTTAATTTTTTAAAACTTTTTCACATTGTTGTAGTAACATTTTGCTTAAAACATAAACACAACTGTGCAAAATTATTTTTATATCCTTATTATATAAAATTATGAGATTTATATAAGATTTTTACCTGTTCTTAAATTATTTCATTATTATTTTGTACTTTTAAAACTTTTCGTTAAAAACACACAAACACATGAGCATATGTCTAGACAGGGTTGGGATCACCAGTATCACTGTCTACCACCTCCACATCTCATCCCACCGGAGGGTTTTCAGGGGTAAAAACTTACAGGAAGCTGTCATCTCCTCTAAAGATACCTTCTTCTGTGATACTTCCTGAAGGACCTGCCTGAGGTTCTTAAGTATCACTCTTTTCAGAAGTATGTCCATGACAGTTTGTTTTGTTCTTTTTTTTTTTTTAATTTAGCCTTGCTTATAAGCAAATTAATACCTCATGAACATTCCTCACCATTAGTGAAAATATTCCTCTCTACTAGTTGTTGGGAGTCCTTATCTTCAAATTTACAGTGGTCTGCAAAAAAAACTTCTGCTAAATCCTTCACTGAATTTTCCTTGAGGTTCTTACTTCTCTAACTTTCCTTTTCTCTGATGTCTTCTGCTCCAGTTTCAACAACTGATTAGCCACTTTCTCAAAAGTCACTTCAGCGCCTCAGTGGCATCTTCATTTATACCCAGGTTAAAACTGTTTGCCATTTCAACCACAGCCTTGTTGATCTGCAACCTTCTCATCCTTGGAAAGTCCTTTGAAGTCACAGAAGAATGCATTTCAGACTCCAGATGCCACTCACACACTCACCCCTAGGTAATAACACAAAGCAAGGGTTTTTGCCCAAGCAAGGTTCCTAAAGCAGTTATTAGTTATTGTAATCCTTCCACAATTTTATCTATGTCTTCTTCAGTTGCAACAATAGCCCAAGTAAAGATCTTCTCAAATAGTTAGTTCTTCAAGCTGCTATAAATCTTTCACCATTGATGGGGTCAAAGAGGTATATTTGTGGGAAGAAATACCACTTAAATAATGAAGTGAAGATCACCAATAAAGGAAGATGTTTGGAAAGAAATCTTGAAAGCAATGTTATTCTCCAAATAGTACTTCCATTTTGCTGGCACAGCAATTCAAGAGGGCACCATGGGAGAGGACCTGGGTCACTCATGACTGTTTATTGCACCTGTAGTTACATTGGTAGTGTGTGCCTACGGATGTATGCTTGTAGGCTTTGGGCTTCTCACTGAGCCACCTCACAAAAAATTTTTATTTGTAGCCTGCAAAAAACATTACCCCCAAGCAAAACTGTAATCCTGTTCTTAAAAGTCCTGGCCTCCCAGTAGATGAAAGTCCGCTCAGGCATTCCACTTCTAGAATAGAGAGGTCTCATCCATACTGAGTATTTGCTTTTGCGAGTATTTTCTTTTCAGTTTATCTAGGGTTCCAAAACTTTTCCACCTGCCTTTACAACAGCAATGGCAGACTCACCATTCACGTTCACATTAACTAATGAATAATGACTGTTGAATCATTTAAACCACCCAGAGCTAGCAGTAAATTTAATTCTTAGTCATGGCCAGTCTTACCTGTCAACATTACAAAGAAAAAAAATTTTTTTAAGATTTATTTATTTGTGTATACAGAACTGGGGTGCAGGCCAGAGGCTCCGGGGTGGTGAGAGGCTTCACCAGAGACAGAGTGGGGAACAGAACAGGCAGATCGACGAAGTACACTGCTGAGGGGAGCAGCGGGCGGGTCAGGAGAGGTCTGCCATGCCATGTGGTCACCTCTGGGGCAGGCGGGAATCAAACTCATGTGGAAGCGGCTTTAGATTCTCAGTGCTGTGCTTTAACTCGCTACACCACCAGGAAGGGCCCCAGAAGCAGATCTTTTAACAGCTTCCATCACTTGTTCTTGTTCCTCAAGATAATAACGATGGTGGAACATACCTGACTGGCAATAACAATCTAATTTCCCACTTTTACAATCCTTAATCATTTTAAATTTTGTTTCCAGATCACTCACTCTACATTGCATCTTAGTGGCAATATTGCCAGCGGACTTTGTATGCTTAGGGGTCAAGAACTAAAAGAAATGAGATTAAATTAAGCATGAATGGTGGTGGAGGTGCAGGAAGAAGTGATATGCTCAAGAGATGCAGTAAACACAACATGTGTGAAGCTGATACGGGCATAAAATGTTATGAAGGATATAATGCCACTAGGCATTATGGATTTTCGGACCACAGTTTCATATGTAATCAATCAGTGATCACCAGGCTCTCCCTGGTGAAGCAACAGGTTAAACACCACATTATGAACCTCTCCGAAGCCACTGCAGCACAAGTTCGATCTCAGGCCAGGGAGGTGACCCACATGGTGCGGCAGACCTTTTCTGACCCGCCCGCTGCACCCCTCAGCAGTGTACTTTGTCAATTTGACTATTCTGCTCCCTACTCTGTCTCTGGTGAATCCTCTCACCCACCACACCTCTAGCCTGTATCCCAGTTCTGTAAGCATAAATAAATAAATCTTTAAAAAAAAAAGTTATGTAGCATGTGACTGTAAAGCCTCTAAGTCACATACTTCTGGCCAGTTTTTCCTTAACACTCAGACTTGACTAATATCAGGGACCCCTAACTTTTCCTAGAAGGAGGAAAAACTCCATTTCTTCCTTAGTACTGATATTGTTGGGATCAGCTTACATTTCTACCTGTAATATATTATTTGTGGAGGTACAGTGGCAGGTAGGAGACAATACAGTTAATGACACTTTCACTACTAAGAATCTGAGCAAAACCTACAAGGGGACCTTAAGAGAGTAAAGGAAAGAGGAATATGT